CCCCCCCCCCCCCCCCATTTTTCAATTTTTTTTTTTTCAATGGGGGGGAGTGGGGTTCTGGTCGCGCCGTCGGAATCCCGACCCCCATCGGCAGGACCCCCCTCCCCTTGGCCGCAGCGTGCAGATTTCGACCGCGCCCGCAGAGGGCCGTGGTCATGCCCGCGGTGACCGCGGCCGCTGGGGATACATAGCGTCTGCTGCGCGATTGGAGAGGACGACGAGATGTTTCCGTGTGAAGTCAAATTGGTCGATGAAGTATATCCATCATCCGATCGTGCTGCTCACCGTATCCTTCGTCTTGTAGTAGGTCAATGGGTTGTTGTCCGATACCCATGTGAACCTACGACGCCCAAGGAGGAAGTGCCACCACCGCTTCAGAGCCATCACGAATGCGAGCAGCTCCTTCTTCCTTGCATCATCAAGTAAATTGATGAGAGACACTTTGTGGCTGAAATACTTTACGGGGTGTCAGTCGTCGCCGTCGTGTTGTTCCAAGACTGCCCCAATGCAATAGTCGGGAGCGTCAGTTGTCACTCTCGTTGGCAGGGAGAGGTTGTAGATGCTAAGGACGGGTGCCATGAGCATGGCCGTCTTGAGTGTTTGGAATGACGGGTGTGCGACGTCATCGAATACGAATGATACCTTTGACGATCGTAATCTCGTCATTGGTGCGGCAATCTTTGAGTACCCGGTGATGAAGCGTTGATAGTAGCCCGCAAACCCCATGAATGAGCAAACGTCCGTAGTGTTGGTGGGCTCGGGTCATACGCGGATGACCTCGATCTTATCCGCAAGCGAACGGATGCCTTGCGGCGTCACATAATGTCCCAAGTACCCCAACTTTTGCCGCGCGAATTCGCATTTGTCGTGGTTGGCTTTGTACTTGGCTTGTCGTAGCCGCTCCAAAACGGTGCGCAGGTGCTCCACATGCTCGTCCAAAATCCGGTTGTACACCAAGATGTTGTCGAGGTAGATGAGTATAAATATATCCAGCATGTGTCGAAACTCCGTTGTCATAGCCGCTTGGAATGTGGCAGGGGCATTCGTAAGGCCAAACGACATAACCAGCCATTCGAAATGCCCATATCGCATCTTAAACGCGGTCTTGTAGCGGTCTTCTTGACGGATCTCGAGTTGGTGATATCCCGATTTCAGGTCAACCTTGGAGAAAAACTTGGCGCCGCCCAGCCGTTTGAGGAGGTCGTCGATGCGCGAAAGAGGGTCGGTGTTCTTGACGGTTTGCGTGTTGAGGTTGCGATAATCGATGCACAACCTCAAATCCTTGTTCTTCTTCCGGACGAAGAGAACGGGGGTACCGTATGGCGAAGAGCTAGACCGAATCCAACCTTTCTCGAGAAGGTCGTCGAGTTGTGTCAGTAGCATGCTTAACTCTTCCTCGCTCATGGGGTAGAAGCAACCACGCGGAGGTACGGCCCCGGCCTCGAGAATTATCTCGTGGCGGATTGGCCGATTCGGTACTACTCTGTGCGGGGCTTCGAATACGTCGCCATAGGCGTCGAGAAGCTCAGTGATGCGTGGGTCCGGTGATGAGTCCGTCGATGGAATGTCATGGGGCGGGAGGGCATGGAGAAAACACCCCCCCATCTCCTCGATGTCATCCCTGATGATGAAAGCTCGAATGCTTGCGGCGGACACCACGTGGCAGTTGATCGAAGGGTGAGGAGGAGGCGCCATGCATGGGACTAGTACTCCGTTCCGGTCACGAACGTGAAGAGTGCGGCGCTAGAAGTGGGTGATCCTCGCTTTGCAGCCATGACATGCCCAAGATCATGTCGAACTTGGTGTCCAAAAATGTCGAAGGACACGGCCTCGCTTGCATGCGGGGCAAAGTACACGGGGACGACATTAATGCACCGGTCGATTGACTTGTGCGTGTGACCGTCGGCCAAAGTGACTTGCATGGGCTGCGACTTCCTCCGAACATGTGGCCCAAGGTCAGCGCGTACCATAAAGTCTTGGCTCATATAGTTGCGAGTAGCTCCGCAATCGATCAAAGCGCTACAAGTCGCCTCTCCGATCTGAATGCGTATGTACAACAATGGCGCGTCGATGTCGTCGTACCGTTGTGTCTTGAACTCGCGGTCGATCTTCGCAATGTAGTCGTGAAGGTCGGCAATCTCTACTCCAGCGTCCATCAACGGAGTTGGTACTGCAGTGCGCAAGTAATCCCGCAATTGTGCCATGAGCATGTTGCAATGCGGTTTCGGCAATCGACCGAACGGGGGAAGGGCCATCCATTGGAAGTCCGCAAACGTCAATGGGCCGAGCTCTTCAAGTCTTGACCACGTCGTCGAATCCCCGGCGATAGATGGCGGTGAAGCTGCCGAATCGGTTGCCGATGGCAGTGAAATCGTGCATGCGGTGGATTGTTGCACGTGGAGTGGTTGGTCCAATGGTGGGACCAAGTGGACAACATAATCCTCGTAAGTGAACCGAGGACTTGCGACATTCGCATCCTCCCCAGATGTGTAGGAGGCCGCTAGCAAGGCGGCCGAATCTGGCGGAGTGAGAGGTGGAGTTGCCTCACCTCCCGCGCAACTCAGTTTCCCGAGTTGATGCGAGGTCGAGCATCCTCCTTGCCTTGATCCGGGTATTGGGAGGTCTTGTGCTTGGTGCTGTTGCACCAATAGCAGCAGCCATACTGGCCGCGCCACATGTATTCGGCCTCGGTCAAGTGAAACTTGACCCATGGTGCTGGCTGTCCGTTTCCGGACGACGATGCGGTTTTCGCCTTCCTTCTTCCTCCCGAGTTGTTGTTGCTTCGCGGTTGGACAACGGCCACCTGATCTCCCTCATGTGATGCTTGGGTGGATGTCGGGTCTTCCACAATGTTGTTCGGCTGGACTGCATCGACATGCTGCGAACGTGGACCAAATTTTCCTTTCTCCACATAGGTTGACTACCACGCTGACTTCTCGTGTGCAGCCGCCCTATTGGTCTTGATGATCTCCCTTGCCTTGTCGATGATTTCGGCGAAGGTCGTGTATTGCTTCCTATCACCAAGTGCACGGCTCAAGGCGGCACATGACCGGTTGTAGAACTCCCAACGCAGATGCGAAAATGGAAACTTGAGATCAGGCGTTGCCGCGATCTTTTGCCATTCCGTGATCCAGTCGCATGTCGACGTGTTGCCTTGGGCCATGCTGAAGAGGCGGTTGATGGCGAGCGCCTGGGCGTCGTCCACGATGAACCGCTTCTTCCATAGCCTTGTCAACTCTTCCCAAGAGATCTTCTCATGTAGATCGGCGATTTGGACGTCAAGGATGGTTGCCAGGTGGCTGAGCCAGATCTGGCATCCGCCCTTTGAGTGGCGGAACAGCGCGCCGATGTGCGAGTGCTCGGGGACAAAAAGAATCCGAAGTTCCGTCGTAAAGCCCTCCCACCAGGGGACCGGGTCGTGATGCGTATAATCATCGAACTTTTCGATGCGGAATGTCGACATCTTGTAGTGATGCACATTGGTATTGCCATCCTTGTTGGGCAGCTGGTACAGTTGCTGAACCTCGGTCTTCAAGGTGTCCAGCTGCTTGCTGATGGTGGCTGGTGCAGCGAAGGTGCTGATGTCATCGAGCATTGCGACTACGTGGTCAACTCGTTCCTCCAATTGGCGGGTAGAGGGTGCACTGCTGGACTCGCCAGCATCTGGTCTTGGTGCAACTTGCTCCAAGTCGTGTACACGGGAATCAAGTGCCCGTCGGAGATTTGCCAGCTCGGACTGCAGGTCGTTACAAGTGTAAACCAACCGGGTCACGAGTTTGGCAAGGAACTCCTTGTGCTGCTCTTCCGGTGTTGTGTCTTCGTGCTGCTTGGATGGTTCAAAATGCCAGAACTTGACCTTTTCGATGCTGGTAGCTTCGTGCTGCCGTAGCAGATCCTGGGCCGCCTTGCGGTGTGCTTGGGTATCTGCGTCGGCTTCGGCCTGAAGTCGCTGCTTTTCAGCTGCTGCCGCCTGACGTTGTTCCTCAGCCTCGATCAGTGCGAGCTGAGCYTGGAACYGCTGTCGGTACTCGGCAATGGACTCATTGGCCAGTTGGCCTGGCATGCCCAGAACTGAGACCGTCATGGTGGCGGGGACTGTTGCTGACGTGGTACTGCTGACGTGGCACTGTTGCTGACGTGGCACTGCTGCCATGGCACAGTTGCTGACATGGCACTGTTGCTGATGTGGCACCGTACCAAACTAGGAATGCAGGCAAAGGGTTGGGTGGGAGGGAAAACGCAGGTAGGTAACCAACCAGGCTATACTTTCCTCCCGGCCGTAATCAACAGGATAAAATAAAATAAAAAAATAAAAGAAGAGGATCACCCCCCGCCCTTTTTTTTTATTTTGTATATCTGTCGATCTGCTATGAGTGAGGCATCTCAGAGGAGTACTACGAACGAGATCTAGGCAAGGTTCCGCAAAGTGTCAGCTTTTTATGTGATCTTGGAAAAAAAAACTTGTGCGAAATAGAGTAGAGAATCTAGAGATGCGATTTTCAGAAAATAACGAAATCCAGTTTCTGAGAACATGACAATCTCCTAATATGCCTAAAAACGAAATGCTGATAGGCTTCGCAAGATTTCGGTTTTCAAAAAAACATTTGCGAGATAGAATGGAGATTCGATTTTCAGAAAAGAATAAATCCGCTTTCCGAGAATATGACCACCTCTTTTGTTATCCTAATATGCCTAGAAAACGAAATGCTAACATCAGAATTTTTTGGCTATGTATGCGAATATCAGAAATTTCGGATGCTAATATCAGAGAAACGAAATGCTACTTTCAGAAATTTTCAGATATTTGTTGCGTGAAAACGAAATGCTAATATCAGAAATTTTCAGATAAAACGAAATGCTATTATCAGAAATTTTCAGATATTTGTTGCGAGAAAGAAGAAAAAAAAAAAATCTGAGATTTGACGAAGTCCTACTTGATTTACTTAAAAAACAATCAATAGATCAAGCAAGCTGGCTACTTGATTGAGCGGGTCCTCTGATTGAGAGGTCTGCTCCCATACCAAACTGTCGCATGCCGTGAAGGTGCAGACCAGAACAAGAACCGACCTCTCTCACAAAGTACAAGATAGCGTAGCGGAAGATTTAGATACCAATGATCCGAACAATCAATGTTGCAATGCAGCCCCAAACATACATCATCATCATTCCATGGTGTGAAGGGGCCTGGCGCTCACACAGGAAGAATGTGCCAGTCCCCAACCATACTCAGACGAAGAAGAGGGGGGTTTGACGAAGAAGAGGGGAAGATGGGAATGTCGTCAACACCAAGTCTTCGGCACAGGCCCCAAATAATCCCTCGTCAAATTTCTGAATCCCAATGTCGTCAAGTCCCAAAGTCACAACTCTCTCTCTCTGGTAGTCCGCAGATACTGCGAAGTCAGGTAGCGAGAGTGTGAAGAAGAGATGGTGGACTTAAAGAAGAGGAAGAAGAAGAAGAATCTCTCTCTCTCTCAGTCCGGTACTAACCTGTGAAGTTGGCGCCTTGATGCAGGTACCTCGAAGATGAAGCTGGAGCTATGGCGCCACAGGTAAGTCTCCCTGGCCTCCGCCAGTCATCTCTCTCTCCAACGCTACTCTACTCCTACCAGCGCCCAGCGTTGAAGACTACCACTACAACTACTAGCACCCAGCCGCGTTGAAGACTACTACTAGCGCTAAAGCTACTCCTGCAGCGCTCCTCCAGAGTGCTGCTGCCGAATCCTGAAGACTACTCCTGCCTTCTGCCTCCCCGTGAAGTGCATGGGAACTCCCTATGTACTACCTCGGCCTGCCTCCTGACTGTCTCCGATTGTCTGCAGTTGCAGGGCGTGGCAGTCCAGTCAGGAGGCTGCTCTTGCCAATGCCAAGACGAGCCAGGGCCTGGCGCTGCAGCTCCTGCTGAGGGTGTCGTGGGAACAGGCCAAAAATAGCCTGTTCCTAAAACCTTGGTTTGGTGCCTGAATGTCAGGGCAGGTCGATCTTATGAGGGCCTGAAAGTGGCCCTCCGTTTCAGGCTGAAAAGACTCAGGGCTTCGAAGGCCCTATTTTAGGCTGAAACGACATAGGGCCTGCAGACCCTCGTTTTCAAGCTTTCAGGCTGAAACGACACAGGGCCTGTAAGCCTTTGTTTTCAGGCTTTTAGGTTGCGAACGCTGGTCGGGCCCTGCAGGCCCGTGTGGCTGCGCAGCATGCCCCCCCCCCCCTCCTTAAAAGACCGAGCTTACCTGCGAGGGCGAAGCTGTCTGTCGGAGGGAGGGACCATAGTCCGGGTGGGAGGGGCAGGTCGTGACGTTCCCTTAGCTAACCTCTGTCGCTCGTAGTGAGCGTAGATCAGCGGTGCGGATGTTTTCAAATCTGCTTCTGAAATCCATCAAGTGTCATTGGGATCGCATGCTTTGAATGTAACCTTGTACTGTCGAGGCTTGCTGCCGTACTCGTGATCCGTGATGACGCGGTCAACTTCCTGATGACCATCCATAGATGGAGGATCTTGCGATCTTTGGCCCGGGAAGTTATCGCTCTTAGCTAGTGTATATGTCGCTAGCTTTGAGGAGTGAAAGACTAGATGGACCGTTAGATGCGGGGGAATGTTGATCACAAATGAAGGGTCATCGGGCTCATCGCTCGCGGCCGATGTTACGGGCCATGGTCCAAACCACTTGGGAAGCAGTTTGCGTGAAACATCCTGCTCGAGTGCAAACTCTTCCGCGGAGACCCACACCGGATCACCGGCGCGGATGGGACATGACACGCGACGCCTGTTGGCTTGGTGCTGCATACGGACTGGAGCCGTTTGCATGTTCGCGCGGGCTTGAGGCCGCAATTCCCTGTACTTCCGGACGGAAGCAGGGGAGCAAGCAGCGTCTATGTCAGTTGTTCGTGGGAGGAGAAAATCAGCGAAGATACGGTCTTTCCGGCCACCGTAGTGCAACTCAAATGGAGTCACGTCAATTGTCGGATGCAACAAAGTGTTGTAGGCGCACTCGATGTCGGGGAGGTGGTCAACCCAATCCTTCTGATTCGGATGGATGAGCGTATGAAGCATCATTTGAGCGGTTTCATGTGCCCGCTCTGTTTGCTCGTCCGTTTGTGGATGCGGAGCCAAACTTGGTTTCATCTTCGTGTCGGATCCCTGCATGAGAGAAGTCCAAAATGTCAACATGAAGCGAGTGTCGTGGTCGCTGACGATGTCTTTCGGTACGCCGTGGCTGCAAATCCAGCCAGTGTGTAAGAGGCGCACAAGTTCGGGACCCGTGGCGTAGTACTTGCAAGGAAGAAATCGCGCATACTTACTCAAATAGTCAACGACCGTGAGGATGTCGTTGTGCCCGAGGCGGTCGCGGGGAAACGGACCTATGGCGTCCATGGCAATGGAGAGGCCGGGTTCCCATGGGATAGGCATCGGGCGCAACTCGCCGTAGGGGTTGCGGTTGCGGGGCTTGATTCGTCGGCAAACTTCGCAAGAGTCGCAATACCGAGTGATATTGGTTATGAGGTCGGGCCATCGGAATCGTTGTCGAACTCGTGCAATAGTGCGATTGACTCCAAAATGGCTGGCGAGTCGCAGGTCATTGTACTCACCGAGAAGGCGAGTCCGAAGATGACAGTCGCGTGGGACACACAATAAGTCCTTGCCTCGCGAGTGGAGGAACAAGTACTCATCAACGATGCGATAGTGGTTGGCCGGTGGGTGATCCGAAGATAGCTGCGCATACAACGTGGCGAAATCCGGGTCAGACTCGTAGCCCCGGATGAAGTGTCGCTGGAGTTCCTCGTCGAATGTGAAGGCATGATGATGTGTCATAGCGCAAAGATAGGGTCTTCGCGAGAGCGAGCAATGTGTGTGTGTGTGTGTGTGTGTGTGTGTGTGTGTGTGTGTGTGTGTGTGTGTGTGTGNTGTGTGTGTGTGTGTGTGTGTGTGTGTGTGTGTGTGTGCGTGTGTGTGTGTGTGTGTGTGTGTGTGTGTGTGCGTGCGCGTGTGTGTATGTCACAGTATGTGTGCGCGCGCGCAATAGTAATTGTGTGTTTGCATGTCGATTCCCATTACTTCTTTCAATCATTATTGTGGGTCATTTGATTAGTATAATTGATTGTAGAGCCATTATTACACATTAAGTTCTTATTTGTTTTGTTTTTTTTTTTCAATTTTTTATTATTATTATTTCATTTTTTTTTGTCCTTTTTATTTTATTTCTATTTTTTATTTTTTATTTTTATTTTTTTGTTTTTTATTTTTTATTATTATACCTACTTATTATTACATTAACTATTGTGGTTAGTCCAGAGCGGATTAATCGATGAGAAAGAAATTCTAAATTTCTTGCTACATCTACCTATGTTCCAAGACTAAACAAGATTTTTATGATCGATTATTGTAGCTTCGTAAGATGCTATATTTTTTGCTTACATGATTCATACCGTAATATTGAAAGGAAATAGCAACGGAAGATATATATAGATAAATATTTAGTCGGCCCGTACAAATTTCAGCCAATTCAGATTGTGTAAGATCATCTATGATTTGTACAAATTTTACCATGCTTGTCGTTTAGCAAGAGGACATTTAAGAGCTAGTAAGAAGATGTCGAACCTTATAATTGATTGCAAGTACCTATGATTTCAGGTTCTACTTGATACATCGCTTACCAGGGTCACGTAGGTGTATCTAAGGTCAAGGCGGTTGTAAAGCATTATGGTAACTTAGAATATCTACCCACTCGGGATAGATTTAATGCAACATCACCGTGATGGTATTATTATTACGATATAGCCTGCATGATCAAAATAATGTGATGTAAGAAATAATAATTGTCCAAAGGCAATTAGTACAAATTTTACTAATTGTGTAAGATAATATTTGATCATCTATGATTTGTACAAATTTTACCATGTTTGTCGTTTCGCAAGAGGACATTTAAGTGGTAGTAAGAGGATGTCGATCCTTCGAATTGATTGCGAGAAGCTATGATTTCAGGTTCTACTTGATACATCGCTTACTAGGGTCACGTAGTACTAATTGACCAGAGGCATATTGGACCAGAGGTAAAGAACTCCTCTTGTGATTTAATTCATTTAATCATGGGATAAATCTCGGTAATGTTTTGAGATCCATTAAAAGTCACGATCTATCGCGCTAGGTTTTTCGAGTATATTTCCAGCGTTAAAATGTATACG